TGATTATAAAAGACCCCTTGATGACTTTTTAAAAGTAGTGTAATTTATACAGAAATATTAATATGTGCAGTTGTCCATGTGATAAGTTGCTTTGAGTGCACACACAGCTTATGTGTGCTGTGAGAATATTTGCTAAAGCCATCTCTGGCATTTCAGCATCCTCCCCTAGCAGCTGCAGACAGCAATTTGTTTAGTGGAGTTCAAGAGTAAGATAAGAAACTGTGCCTATCTAAAATTAAAGAGGAAGTTTTCTACCACAATAAATGGTAAGAGTTTTAATCACTGTTGTCCCTGTATGAATACTTTTAAGGTTTTGTTCGTAACAGATAATTTTTTTTCCTCATTTTAGAGTTCTGTGTAGATGAAGTGATACTAACAAGAAAAGAGACTGATTTTTTTTAGGTAGAGAGAGATGAAATTTGATCCCAATTAAAAAAAACCAACTGAATATTCCTTTAATTTGTGATGGCTTCATAAAGATCAGATATCTGTCAGGGATGACATATAATTCAAATCTCCATCCCTTATGAGTAGCAGAACCTTCGGAGATAATGAAATCTTCCTACCATATGATCACCTATGTTAATTTTGTTCACGCACACATTTGTGCATGAAGAGGTATAGCAGAACTGACCTGGGAACACTGAAGCTCTTTGGAAGCAATGCCCCAGACTTTGACTTGAACCCTCTGGTCTGCAAGTCCATATGAAGTAAGCTTTGCAAAGTTCTGTTCAGTTAGCAGTAAAGCTTCTTGTGCTTCCTGAGTGAAATACATGCAGGTTTTTTTCATTAGGAGCACACTAGAGGGTAAATGGGGAAATGCTGTACCTGAACTGCTGGATTTTCCTGACAGTCTTAAAGAGTGTCTGTACTAATATAAATCGCATACATCCGGCTTGACTAAGATTCAACAAATGGGAAACAGAAATTATTATATTTTTTTCAGGAAAGTTGAAGTCCATAATACTTGTTCATATTCTATCTCTGTTTTTTCAATTAAACTTAAGTGAATCTGAAGTAGCTAGATTTCGTCTAAATCCACACAGCTGAGGAAACCTGTGCTTGCTCTTTCTCTGAATTTTCACTGAGGGGCTTTTATCTCCCCCTAATCCCACCATTTCTGTCAGGACATAATCTCTTTCTCAAATTTACATTTTAATTACAAGGCCAGCTGAACTAGCTAAAATCAATAATGTCAGCATTCAGCAGCCTAACTTCAGCTGAAACCCCAGCCTCTCTCTTTCCTTCTATCGATTTATCTTGTGAACACGGTCTACTTTATTGCTTCAGGCAAATAGGTGCCATTTGGTCAATTTAAACAAAAAAAGGGGATTTGAACATTTTTATGATTCTTTCTAAAAGCCGCTATTGGAACAATGTGAACCCAGGTACTGTATTTGTGTTAATAAAATACACAGAACAGCCAAACTCTTAAGAGGAATTTTACTTTTAAAACTGCACTTAATCCCATCTATGTCTTAAAAACAAAACAAAAAAACTCCACCCTCACGCTGGATACCATTCAGCTAGGGCTGTCTGCATGGTGACTCTTGTCTTTATCTTGTTAGCAAAAACTGATTTTATAAACAAATATTTTTTTAAAAAATCCACAGTAGAGGTGCTGTTACTGATGTCGTAGTGTATTTACCGTTAGCCATTTTTCTGTTAATGGTTTAAAATAAGAAATCAATGGGAAAATATTTTGTTCTTGTAACTCCTAAGAATTCCTATATTGATCTTTTGGATGTGATTTTATCTACCTAAATGTCACATTGTCCATTTATCTCTCTTGCCTTTTCTTTGTGTTGCTGACTGCTTGTCTCTGCTGTTCGCATCCTCTGCCCCCTAAAAAAAAATAATCAGTGTAGTGAATGAGCAATTATGCTTTCCATAAACATCGTAGGAAAAATTGGAATGAAACTAGGGTTTCCTGAGAACTTTTAATACATAAGCACATATTCTCTCTGGAGAGGAAAAAAGGTGTGAGACACACATATCTGCTAACTTCTGACTTCAACATAGTTTGTAAATAGTACACATACAAGTGCTCTCAAAACTGTTGCTTTAAACAATGCTTTTCAGAAAGGTATTCTTGTCCTTTAAAACAAAAAAAAGAGAAAAAAGGCAATTTTAAATGCTAACTACAGTCTAAGCAATTCTACATTACAGATAACAGTCTATCATGTATTTTTCTCAGCTAACCTTGTTCATGCCAAAGGGCCTGTTTGTTTGTAGCTGTTTCTGTCATAAAAGGAAGTTTACTTTTCCAAATCCTGATGATTCTAAAGTGTGGTTATAACAGAATCTTTTGGGTTAATTCTGTTTCACTTTGATACAAAGCACCTGAGAAGGGCTTTTTCCCTGTCTAGCCTATGACAGGAGCCGAGATGGGGAGTCCTATCCTGCCCCCTTTCCAGATACATAAATTCAAGGTGGCTCCTTTCAGTGAAATATTAAGTGCTGTTGAAAAAGCACTTTTATGGAGGCACCATTATCCCTCTTGAGCGGCAAGTCCCCAGCCTAATAAATGTCATGAGATCATTTCGTTTGCTATTTAGCCTAGATATTCCTCTGCTTAGTTCCATCCTATTACGCTTTTATACGTCCTTTGTTTTGAAAGAGGAAGGGGAAGCTATCTGCCACAGTTGTCATTACTGGTCCCTGCCCTGAATCACCTTGCCCTTAAAACATTTTCCTTCGTTGTTACCAGTATAAGCCATACTAGAGAGAGACATGGGGTCTCAGATGGTCTTAGAAGAGTCCTCATCCTTGAGAGTATTCTGGAGCTCTTTATTCTCTCTGGAGTCAGCTGTGTTCAGAAGATCTAGCAATGACTGAACTGGCCATTCGCTGTATGCAGCAAAATTTAAAGGCTACACAAGCCAGATCCAACTGGATGTCTGCTTTTGTTTCCCCTCTCCTTCTGAGGGGCTCTAGCTTTGCGGATTTTGAATTGGGATTGTCAGCTCCCTCCAGGGAGAGGATGTCCAGGAACTAGGTTAAGCAGGGGGTTGACAGGGCATCCTTCTCAGTGCCCTGAGCTTGGAGCCTTGGAAAGCGAGGAGGAGATGTCATTCCCTGCGCAAGGACTCAACTCCTGATCTAGGTACTTGGAAAGTTTAGACCCATATGTACCTAGGGGATGGATCTAGAAGGTTGCCAGCTCAGCAACTTGACCTGTAGCTGGAGTCAGGCAATGCCTTCTGTGTGGTTGCACCCCATAGGTTACAGGGAACGTGTGGTACAAATGAATCAAGGTCAGGATGAATTACTGGGAGACCTTATAAGGTGGAAAGAAGGGGTCAGGGCAAGTTGCTCTGATTTTGTTTATGAAAAATATGTTTTTCTCTGAAATGAAAATATTTTGTGCACCAAAGCTACCTGCCACTATGGGTCCTGCAATTTCCTACTCAGAGGGCAGGTCATACCACATTACCTTTTCTTTTTTTAGTTGGTATCTTGTGATACATTTAATGATTAGCAAAACAAATTAGCAAAGCAGCAATACTTCTGGATACAGCTTCAGGGCTGGCTAGAAGTGGGCAAGAAACTAAAAGTCCCGATTAAATAATAGCTAAATCACGTCAAGTAAACTCAGGCTGCTTTTCATAAGAAGGCTGAGATAATTTGCTTAAAATTTTAGTCTTGTGAAACCATGACTTTTTTGTGTTGATTTAGTTTTTTGGGGGGATGGGGCTTTGCATTTCAATTTTTTTTATAAAAAGGCTTTCTGAGGGGGCAAATGTAGTCTATTGCATTAGTGTGAGGGATCACATCTCTCCGTTTTTAGCTGTCGTTGGCTGAAAAGTTCTTGTTACTACTGCCAGCTAATAGAGTTGCTTCTCTAGCTCAGCAGGTAGAGGCATGTGCTGTCTAACTGCTCAGCCTATCTAATTGCATCATTACAGTCCATGCTGACTGTCTAATCTAGCTGTATAAAGTAATTAAGTTGCCCCACCACTGAGCTGCTGGTGCTGAACGTCAATGCCTGGTGCTGCCTTGCAGTTGGCTTGTTTCTCAGGTGTAGCTCAGGCATTTACTGTCTCTTGAGCGTACTCTGTGGGTATACTCATTGCTTCTGCCAGCACTTAGGTGTTTTATCTTGGCAAATTGTGTGTTTTAGCATCTGTGAAAGAAGAATGTTCTCTAGATAATTCTGTTTGCGGATGTTTTTAGGAATCGAAACTCAACTATTCTCAGTGGTGCTGCCCCTTAACAAATCAGAAAAAAAAAAGATTTTTTTTTTTTTTTTAATATTCTCAGCTCTGAAGGGTCAATATGGTAGCTGAGAATCATCAAAGAACAGGGATGTGCCTCACACACTTTGTTTTTTCACCGGGTGTGCTTCCCTGCCAGCCGTGCTGGGTGATGATGGTTCCCGTTCTTGTCAGTCATGTGTTGCAGTGAATCCCCTGCCCAAAAGTGGTTTCTCTTTGGCAGGCTGTAAGAGTTTCAACAGGACTTTTTTGCTGAGACACCACAAAGAATTAATCTTAGCACACAGGAGTATATGGATGTATGCCTTTCCTTTTGCTTTTTACTGCTCTTAGATGTCTGTCGGGACTCTAGGTGTTAAACAGTAGTGCCAATAGTTCCTTTCTCCTATTTTACCTTGATATAACCTTGAGTACAGAAATGACGTATCAGCAAGGAGATGCGACACTAGAAACTTATATACAAAAAGCAGTATTGCAGTTTAGGCAAACATGTATTGTTAAAATCCTTCTTTCCAAGGTGAAGTAACATCATTCTTTGTTGTCACACCATGTCATACAAATTTAAAAGTTGGTTTGCTGTAGTTAGCTACTCAGTATGTTTCTGTTCCAAAATAAGAAATATTTCACAGGCAGAAATATCACTCTGTCTCTGAGTGGGATTGATGTCTAATGCAGACTGAACGCAGTAAGACATGTAATGAGCATCCTGAGCTATTTGGGCCTGCTGTGAAGCGCTGAGGGTGGGAGAAGTGAATCGCTCCTAAACATGGCATTTTTTTGCAGGGCTAGAACCCCAGTCACCTCCAAAAGCACTGGTGGGGAAGACATCAATAGGACCAACTCCACTGAGCTCCTGTGCCCAGCTGAAAGGGAATGAAGACGAACTGGATCCAACCTGTGCAGCTGCCACACTGAAACTTATTAGAGACAAACTACCAAAGTTACCATGTCCACATGCCAGGTTATCTTTCTTTTAATTCTTGTAGACACCTCTGGCTCTTACTTGTATTTATTAGTCATGAAAGCACACAGAAAAGCACTTATGAACTAGGCTAGCTGCTAAGGCTGTCCTGGTTTCATTTTGAAGTTACAGTTCTTTTACTGAGATGTACATTCACTGCTTAATATTGGGGATTTTGGTAGTGATTGCACCAGCTCTTAAGGAATCTTTTACTACTCAGTTTAGGTTTTATTTGGTGTAAATGGCCTCTATGAAAAAATAAAACGTTTCCTTCTGTCCTAACAAAAAAACCACATCCCTATTTATTGGAGTAGTTTTTGGTTTGCAGCTAAACAGAATATATCCTAATACTAGATTAGAAAGTAGTTGCAGCCATCTCTTGGTTCCTCGTGACTTATGCTGGTAGTGCTGCCTGGAGGCGTGTTTTACTGGTTCCAAAGATGTATTTGTTGTCAGTCCTATTCAAAGCTTGGTGAAACTCCAGCCTTGTCTAGCATTTATCTGTGATTTGGGGATAAGATTGGAGTAATCTACTTAGTGGCATGTTCCTGAAAAGACACTTCTGCACTGGCCAGGAAAGCCCCCAAAACCTAGCAAACTGGAATGTAATCTCAGAAAGAGAAAGGGGTTTGCTTCGTTAGAACTCTGAAGTTTGGAGCATTCAGGTGTACATTTCTATTTCTAATCTTTAAAAAGTTTAATGTTTCAGTAAGGTGACTAAGACCATTTGCAGCTCTATCAGTGAATAGCCAAGGTCTCCATAGTAGTACTCTGGTTTTTGAGGACTAATGAATTCTGTAGTGGTGTTGCACAATGAGTATTATAAGTCTGCAAGGTGGAATTTTGTCAACAAAAACAAAGACTGCCACCTGTGTGACTGCCATGCAAACATGGGCATGAGTTTACAGAAGCAAGATCTTTCTAAAAATGGTTTGCCACATCAGTAGCTCTTGTTACAGTACAGCGTGTGTGATCCACTACTGCCCCCGTTAGATCTCAAGGCTTCTACACCCATGGTATAATACATTTTATCTAGCTTTGGCTGAATGTGCGGTTAAGCTTCATGGTGCAGTGTGCTGTACTTAGAGTGTGGTGTTCTGGTCTGTATCCTTTTAAAAAAAAAAAAAAAAAGGACAACCCTGTAAAGGTAATTGTAGTCCTAGATGTAAGATAATATTAGCATTGGTGTGAAAATCTAATGAAAAAAGAGAAAAAGTTGTTGTGATCATTGCTGGTTTGTATTGACTTTTCATCAAATTTCTCCAGTGACTCTGCAACTACTGGAGCAGCTTTGGAAGAGCCTGACAGTAAGAGAAGAAAACTAGAAGAAGAAAGAGCTAAAGCTCCCCTCATGCCTTTTGGATTAGATCTTCACTACTGGGGACAGGATCAGCCAAGTGCTGGGAGGATTCTCAAGTAATGCTCTTTTTCTTTTAAGGCAAATTAAACAAATATATAGATTTACTTGTACTCAGAGGTCATGCAGTGGGGTGACTGCTATTTCTTTTGATAATTACTTTTCTTCTTTCCCTTGTGCTGTAGGACCCATAAACAAAGTCAGAAATTCTGTCTTAAAATGTTATTTGTTTTGAGAAGATGTGATACTAATTAAATATCCTTTGAGGCTTCAAAGCACATTTTTTCTGCTCTTTCATGTTTGTATATTATTTGCAGCATGGCACCACTTACTCCAATTTAAATTGGTACCTCATTATGTAAAATGCTATGCAAGTGCATGACAGACGGTCCCTCTGCTGGGGACTTTACAGCCTAAATAAATAGCAGACAAGGTAGGAGAAGGACTGGGGAACGTGTCGGGGGTATTTTTCCTGACTTTACAGAGTGGTAACTGAGGAAATTGAGACGCTTGTTCAGTCACAGAAGAACTAGGTGGCAGTTACAGGATTTGAATTTGGATATCTCACTTTCCATTCTTGTCTGGGAAGGTTCTGTGTTTCTTGGACATGAAGCATTGCTGGCTATGGGAAAGCTTTAGCAATGCCAGGGAGTACAGATTGTAGGTATAGATCAGAACTTGTTTCTAGCAGTCAGTTTTTAAAACCCCTTTTTAGCACTAGTATTTTTATATGAAAGCAAAGGACTTTATGTGCAAAGTCCTCCCTCTATGTATAAATTTCATTGAAGTCCACCAGAACTTTAGTATCAGTGTGTACCATACCTGGCTTGAAAAAGGCAAAAACAATTGACTGGCTGGGTTGCAAATCAAACTCATATATTCTCAGCAGTATTACTTTAACTTAGTTTGTTTTCTTATCAAAACAAACAAAAACCCCCAACCCGTGATCGCAGTGTGAAGACAGTGTTTGCAGAAAAAAAAAAAAGAGGAAAGTGTTGCCCCTGTACCTGATTGCATAAAATGCTGAATATGTTTTAAATTGTTGCAAGCCAGTGAAATCTGATACATAATAGTGCTTTAACACAGTCACTCCAAGCTTTGGATTCTGTCTGGTGTGGTGTAAGCTCTTCAAAGCCTATAAAATGGTTAAGATTTTCAGCAGGGCTTTAAGAAGCATTTGTCTGTGATAATGCCAAAAAGGTAGTAAGGCTTTATTTTACATTGCAAATGAGTTATTCAAGTCATAAGTGAAATCAGAAGCATATTTCACTGCCTGTCTGCCTTGTGCTGTACTGTTTTGTTTTTATGCTTTCCAATAAAATAGAGGGCATGCTTCTGAACCTTATAGTCTATAACTACAGATATGCCAATCTAACTAAAGATAATTTAAGTAACTCTGCACACAAAATACCATCGACCCCTGGATATAAAATACATTTATTGAAAAATTAAGGTAGTCATTGGCCAACTCCTTTAACTTTACTATATGCACACACACTGTCTCTATAGGATGCCTAGGAAAAAAAATCCAAACCCAAAAACCAGACAATAAATACGGAATGTGTATGGAATTTGAATTTTTAAAATCTGAGGTGGAAAAGTCTTTCCCCTTCACCTATTCAACACTATACTTACTTAATTACAGCATTTATAATAAATTAAGATTTTGATAATGAGAATGTAGCTACCAGGAAGATGATTTTCTAAAGAAGTTTTGTTTAGCTGGTAAATGGTGAACCGTCACCTTCTCTAGAAGGTGACAGTAACTGTGGGCTTTACAAAAAGTTCGGGCCAAACCTTTTTCCCCCCTTCTGCCTTCACTCACACAACTAATTAAGCTAGTTTAAGAACTCTTAAAATGAGTTTATAAAGCTGTAGTAGTACTTTTTTTGGGGGGATGGTGTATACTGCACAGTGTTGTACTGTATAGAGACTGCTATGCCAGCTTAACCAACTATTTTGGATAGCATGGGCCTTCCAAACTCATCTACCCTCCTCCTTGAATTAAATTAGCTTACTTTTAGGATCAGAGTAAATTAGCTGGTGCAGTGCTTTTTATGACTGTGACTAGGATATTTGAATTAGCTTATTTAGTGCTTGCTTCAGGATCTCTGTATGCATCATACTGGTTTTAGAATTTATATTTACTCAAGCTTTTGATAAGCTTCCCATCATCTTAGGAACGAAGTTGATATAAATTTGTTGAAAGAGGGCAACATTTCTCCAGAAGCTGGACTTTCTTTTAGATTTCAGTTAATCACTACTTGTCTCTTATTCCTCCTAATGTATAGCTATGTAATTTCCATAAAAGCCTCTGTTACTTGCCTAGATCTGTAACGCTCTTTCTGTGAGTGTGTGAGGTGTCGATCTTCTAGTTGATTATCTGTTCCCCTTTTGATCCCTCTTACAGAAAGGTTTTATTTGTCACATGCATCATTTTTTTCAAACAAAGATCTCACGTTCTGCCTTTTTAAAGAGTTGCTTAAATTACAGCAGCAGGAAATCAGAAAACTATGGGATTTAGCACTGTTTTATTCTTTTCTCACCTGCTTGTAAGTCATGCTGGGAGAAAATAATTTATATGCTTGTAGTAAACAATAATATTTATTAATATCTGTGCAGGAATCGGGCTATTTTAAGTCTAGTTGCCAAATACTGATCAATGATACATAGAGTAAAACATAATTTTCATTTCCTTGAGATTTGTTCGATGCGGATTTTTTTGGGGGGAAGTCAAAATATTAAATAGAACTTTTTCCTAATTGGAAAGGTTGGCATGCACAACTGTTAAATGCTTCTTCATTCTTATGTAACTGTAATTTGATAATTTAGGGGTGGGGAGGGAAGTTCAGACCACCAAAGGACATGAGAATTTTACTAAAAGATTCAGTAAGACTCCTTTGCACATAGGAATCCTGCATGGTGTCTTTTTAGGAATGCTTTCTCCTCCTTGTGTCTGTGAGGTTAGTAATAGAGCTAGCAGTCAGGTGTGTTTTCAGGACTGTATTAAAACTAAACAAATAAGAAATTTATTTCATTCTTTCATTTACTGTCTATTGTACAATCTTGCCACATAATTTCTGAAGCTGAAATACTCCACCATTCAAACGTTTGAGTGAAGTCATATAGGTATATTTTAAAGATTCTTAGAGCTTTTTTGTTTAGGCTATAGTTTGCGGAATTTTGTGGTTGAAAACTTTTTTTTTTTTAACCAAAAATTGTGGAAACGTATTTCAGTGTTTAATGTTGAACTAGCCTCCACTATAACTCTTTTGCCTTTATCCCCTAATTTACCAGAAGAAAGTTATTTGTACTTTATAGCAGGTTAGAATTTTTCTGGCACTAGCGAGGTATATTGAATGAAGAAATTATTGGATAGCATGAATCTCTTTAACAAGGATTTTGCTTGTTGAACATTTTTCTGATGATTTGGCAAATCACAGAATGGCTTTGAAATTGCTTAATCCCTTTCTTTAACGTAGTTCTAATCTCTTTACATAGTTTTAAGTGGTCAACTATTGCAGTAAAACCAGCAGCTATATATGTTGTAGGTTGCTAAGGCCAGATAATTTCCTCCACTTTTTTTTTTTCCTTGTCATCTGCTGAAAACTTGCTTGGATAAAATTCATCAAAACTCTTCAGGCCCACTAAAGTAATTCTTTAAGTATTGGCTTATGTGCTTTGCTGAATTGAGATCGTTGTGATTAGTGAAGCCAGTGTTCACGTATATATGGCTCTGCAGTCTACAGAAGGCAGAGTCTCAGAAGTAGGAATGACACCCAAGGATATTAACGAGTGAGGGGAATTGGGTATGGATAAAGAAAATCCTCTCAAATCAGTCTGGGACTGATTGGGTAGAAGAGCTATGTGGAAGAAAGGGACTGTAAAGTGTCCTTTATGAATTTTAAGTCCTTATCAAGACACCTATCATCTAGATATCTCCATTTTGCTTGTAATAAGCAGCAGACGTGCAGGCTGGAATTTTTTTTGCTTAGTTTAGCTGTATTTTTTCTCTTTTAACTTCATATTTCCTTAAATTTGGGATAGGATTGTTGTTGTTTAACTTCAGATGTCTTAAATTTAGATATCTAAGCTTAAGCTGGTCACCCTAATTTCTTTTCATGATTTGGAGAAAGAAACATTTACCACCAGAGGGACAGTCATTGCGTTCTAAGATTAGCATCTAAAATGAGTCAGGTAATTCCTCTCTGGGGTTGTCTGTTTCTCGTTATAGACTATTGGCAGCCTAGGGTGGCTAAAATGAAATGATATGAATACTGTTGAGAAAATTTGAAAATGCTACACCACTCAAGGGTCCTTGCTCCCCTTCTCTCCCGCTCCCCACATTCACTGGCGTGGTACTAATCTTCTTTACACCTGATTAACGAAGAGTGTATTTGCCTATATATGTCTGTAAATATAGGTAAGATCTTTAATTTTAAAATAGATTTTCAATGGATTATCTTAATTTCCTAGAGGAACACCCCGTAAGTTTCTCAGACCCATGGACACTGTATAGGAGAACCTGGAAGAAAGAATCTCTATGAGGCTCAGCTGATCATTTGCTTTCTTCCTTGGTCCAAGTATATTGCAACATACTCTGATTTCAGCTTCTGCTTCTCTGCTGCTACAGGCATACAGCTACCAGGAATAAGATCAGACAAGTTAGACCAGGGAGGAAACAGTTTGATCTTATCTTCTGCGTTTAATCATAGAAGTATTTTGTTATGAAGAATCATAGAATCATAGAGTCATTGAGGTTGGAAAAGACCTCTAAGATCATCGAGTCCAACCGTCGACCCAACACCACCATGCCCACTAAACCATGTCCCTAAGTGCCTCGTCTACTCGTCTTTTAAATACCTCCAGGGGTGGGGACTCAACCACTTCCCTGGGCAGCCTGTTCCAATGTTTCACCACTCTTTCAGTAAAGACATTTTTCCTTACATCCAATCTAAACCTCCCCTGCCGCAACTTGAGGCCATTTCCTCTCGTCCTATCGCTTGTTACTTGGGAGAAGAGACCGACCCCCACCTCGCTACAACCTCCTTTCAGGGAGTTGTAGAGAGCGATGAGGTCTCCCCTCAGCCTCCTTTTCTCCAGGCTGAACAACCCCAGTTCCCTCAGCCGCTCCTCATCAGACTTGTTCTCCAGACCCCTCACCAGCCTCGTTGCCCTTCTCTGGACACGCTCCAGCACCTCAACGTCCTTCTTGTAGTGAGGGGCCCAAAACTGAACACAGTATTCGAGGTGCGGCCTCACCAGTGCCGAGTACAGGGGCACGATCACTTCCCTGGTCCTGCTGGCCACACTATTGCTGATACAGGCCAGGATGCCCTTGGCCTTCTTGGCCACCTGGGCACACTGCTGGCTCATGTTCAGCTGGCTGTCGACCAGCACCCCCAGGTCCTTTTCCGCCAGGCAGCTTTCCAGGCACTCTTCCCCAAGCCTGTAGCGCTGCATGGGGTTGTTGTGGCTGAATTGCAGGACCCGGCACTTGGCCTTGTTGAACCTCATACAGTTGGCCTGGGCCCATGGATCCAGCCTGTCCAGGTCCCTCTGCAGAGCCTTCCTACCCTCGAGCAGATCAACACTCCCACCCAATTTGGTGTTGTCTGCAAACTGACTGAGGGTGCACTCGATCCCCTCATCCAGATCATCGATAAAGATATTAAACAAGACCGGACCCAGTACTGAGCCCTGGGGAACACCGCTCGTGACCGGCCGCCAACTGGATTTTACTCCATTCACCGCAACTCTCTGGGCCCGGCCGTCCAGCCAGTTTTTGACCCAGCGCAGAGTCCACCTGTCTATGCCGTGAGCCGCCAGCTTCTCTAGGAGAATGCTGTGGGAGACGGTGTCAAAGGCCTTACTGAAGTCCAGGTAGCCCACATCCACAGCCTTTCCCTCATCCACTAGGTGGGACACCTGGTCAAGAATGTTAACTACAGAATGACAAAGTTATTCACTGAAACTGGATATCGGATAACTTGCTCTGAATGTCAGATCGCAAACTAGAGCTAAGACTTGTAATAGGTTAGCAGGTTAAACAAGAAATCAATACTAGACAGGCTTTGGTGATATTTTAAAAACATCTTCATAATGTAAGAGTCATAGGAAAGAATGGTAGATTCCTAGGTTTTTCTAATTCACTAGTAAAGCTTCCCTTCCTTTTACATGTAAGTTTACCACGGGATGATATTGGCATCTTTGTGTGTTTTCTTACAGCTTTGTCTGTGAATAATTTTCATTCGTTGTTTTCCCAGATTTACTTCTGAGCATCGATTTTGGGCACCCAGTGAAGTAGAGGAAGAGGTGGAAAATAAAGAAATAACTGAAATGTTAAAAACTAGATATATAACATTTGCTGGCAAGTTTGAACCGGTGAAACATAAATGTCGAGCACCAATGCCTGATGGAAGTCTGTGTGAAAGACAAGATCGGATTAAGGTGTGCACCAAGTAACATAACTTCCAGGATATGTGCTATGTGGAGAAGATCTCGATAAAACATGTCCGTAAAAGTTTATTTCACATTGTAAATATAGCTCAAGGCAGTGAAAGAAAATTGTCTCTGGAGAAGTTTGCTGTTGATATGTGCTTCATATGAGAAGCATCCTTTCTGTAAGGAAGCTGTAAACTTTTAAAGAACTCTCAAATATTTTTGGCATTCATCATAGGTATTTATATTATATTTATTACTGTGATGTTTGAGTACCTGACAGTGAAGCAGAGACAGTTAGTTGTTTGCCAAAAAGTTTTCCTCATTTAGAGGCATATTTGATATTAACTGTTTTTAGAAATGTGGGTGTCTGAGGGGCAAAGAGATTTTATTTACAAATTAGGATTTATGAAAGCTAAGTCCTACACAGCCTCAAATTATAAGCCCTATTGAACAGAAATACTTTGCTTAAATACTTTGTTCTAATATCCCTGTTCTTCCTGTATTACCTGAGATTGAAGGATCTGAATGCACTAAAACACTTTAAACAGGATTGTTACAGGATAGGGATATAGCAAAAACAACAGAATACAACGCAGCATTGGTGCCCTGGTTCCAGAGTTGACAGGCTGTGCTACCTGGCCTCTTGAAATTGGATATTCATATCACAAAGAGCTTATTTCTTTGAGATTCTGAATATACTAAACACATGATGTTTATGGGATCCTGATGCTTTCTAAGGGGGACTGGGGATCAAGTGTAAAGTTTTGTTCCTTGATTCCAGTGTCTGGCTAAATTTCAGCTATGTTGAATAACATTTAAGCAATTTCTTCGCATTCAGAAGTTTTGAGATTTTTTTTTTCCTTTTCTTTCTGAAGTGCCCTTTCCATGGAAAGATAATTCCTCGGGATGAATCTGGGATTCCCGTTAATGCAGAGGACAGAGCCAGAGAAGAAAAGATGCGGTTTGAGAAGCAAGCGGCTCAGCCAGGTTTGTGCCTGCATAACAAAAAAAAAAAAAAAAAAAAAAAAAAAAAATATTAGACAGAGGTGGGAGATAAGCTTTACAGGTAAGCGTAATATCTTTATTGTATATGTGTTTGTATATATATTGTATCCAATATTTACTATATATATTTACAATCTATACAATAATTGTATACAATTATCTATACAATAATTGTATAGATTATATCTACATTGTATCTCTATAGTGTGTATATTGCATGTACAATATATTGTATCTACATTGCATCTATATATAGATACAGTGTAGATACAAGTTGGACAACAATCTCAGTATACAGTTGGACACCAAAACTTGGCTACCAGGAGGAAGAGACCCGATTCTTTTGTTGCTAGAGGCACAGGTTGAGACCCACAGAACTGGATCATATTTCTGTTTTGCTCCTAACCCCATTCTCTCATTTAAATTCCTGTTGATTTTAATTTGCAGATCATTTGCAGTGATTCTTGCTTATGTGGTAAATATGGATGCACGTGTACACAGAATAAGGTTAACATTGCGTTTATTTCCAATAGTTATCACAATGTTCCTAACACTTCTCAGACGAATTACAGCCTTTATAGAATCATAGAATAGTGTGGGTTGGAAGGGACCTGTAAAGGCCACCCAGTCCACCCCCCCTGCCGTGGGCAGGGACATCTTCAACTAGATCAGGTTGCTGGCAACCTGTGCCAGTGCTTCACCACCCTCAGCGTAAAAAATTTCTTCCTTAAATCTAGTCCATATCTACCCCCCTTTAGTTTAAAGCCATTCCCCCTTGTCCTGTCGCAACAGGCCCTGCTAAAAAGTTTGCCACCATCTTTTTTATAAGCCCTCGTTAAGTACTGATAGGCTGCAGTAAGGTCTCCCCGAAGCCTTCTCTTCTCTAGGCTGAACAACCCCAACTCTCTCAGCCTTTCTTCATAGGAGAGCTGTTCCATCCCCCTGATCATTTTTGTGGCCCTCTTCTGGACCCGCTCCAACAGGTCCGTGTCTTTCTTATGCTGAGGGCTCCAGAGCTGGACGCAGTACTGCAGGTGGGGTCTCACCAGAGTGGAGCAGAGGGGCAGAATCACCTCCCTCGACCTGCTGGCCACGCTTCTTTTGATGGAATATGTTTATTAAGGACAATTAAACCTATTTCCTGGGAAACGCTCAACAGTAACTGTTCCCATGCTTCTGAAAAGAAGTCATGTAATCTTGCTGATCCCTAACAGTTGTGATTTGCGTAATGTAATTATAATATTATTAGGATCACTGTGTTACCACAAATATTGGCAGAGTGGTTTTTTTGTCACAATGCGGGAATTTTTTTTTCCTATATCTGTTAATATCCATCATATTCTATATTTCCTATATCTACTCATTTACTACTTGTGTTTTAGAAGGAGAATTCTTGGCCTTGTTGTGCTGTGCATCTGTGCAGCATCGCTAGAAAATAGTCTGAAGTAGGGAAGCCCTCACCTTGGGCTTTACTTTTTTGGCATTAGAACTAGTCTGGATGTTCTAATAGGCGTGATGTTTGTGATGGGCTTGAGGAAGGCAGCAAGCAGACCTGTGCTGTTTAATTGTTTACAGTTTACTGTGCAATACTCTGGATTTTGTTTTTAAACAATGGGGATGGGCAACAAAACTAATGGCCTTCTCCTCGGATCCTGGCTGTTACTTTCAGGTGTGGAATGTTCTGGAGGGAAGGCTCATCCTTCCCCAAGATTATTTGGACATTTTTAGGCAGGATAAAGCTCTGGACTGCTAGGTAAGGAATGCAGGCAAAGAGAAAGACAGCAAGCAATGAATACACAGGCAGGAAGACTTCCAAGGGGAATAAGAGACTTTTTTGCAATAGTACAACTAAGCCCCATTAGTTATGGACAGAAGGTAGATTTTCACAGAGCGCTGGAGGGACTGCAACCAGGAAGCTACTGGAAGTTGATGGACTGCAAAGCAAGATGGGACAGAGGGATCTATCCAGCGAAGACATAGTGTATAATTGGAGGGGACAGATTTGTTTTCAAAGCTTTCATTTCATCTGCCTTCCTTCAGCAGGTCTTAGTTTTCTCTGTTTTAAGCTATTTATTCTAGGTGAGTAGTCTGCATTCTAATTAAACTTACCCATAGGCTTAATCATTTTGATATCTTGTAGTATACTCCCTTTAAGGAGTTAGTTCTGTCTTAAGCGCTGACTCAATATTTTACCAGTTTCACAGTCATATGTATTATTAACGAGGCTACTGAACCTTCCACGAAACCCCTTCAGAGCATAAAGAACAGCTGTTGATCTGTTATACAAAAAGCTCTATGTCGAATGAATGTGCATTTAGACATACAACTGACCCACCCATATTTGGGTTTCCTTTAATCCGTATTTGGCCGTCTTCGAATGACTATGCTTGGCAATTACCAGCACCACGCGAATGCAGCAGTTACTGCTCACCTTCTGGTGTCTGCATGTGTTGAAGTGCTACGTTTGCAGGCAGTTTCCATCCTTGTCCAGGTGGAATTAAGTGCTCTAAGCTGGCATCCAGCCAGCAGCATGGGCACAGTTGGACTGTCACAGCAAAACCAGGCCAGGGGTGCGGGTGTTGTGCTAAAAAGGGAAGTTCCTAATTCAGTTATAGCAAACTAAAACTAGCAAATTAAACTAGTAGGTGTTCTTGAGGGACTAGTTTCTAACTAGAAACTAATACTCTGGTATAAAAATCACTTGCACTGAAACATATTGATTTTTTTTTTCCTGTGAAATTGCCATTGCTGGAGGCTAGACATAATATTTATTTTTATTACAGTGTCAGCTCGGTGTTGTTAGAGGCTTCTCACCTCTGGCCCACAAGGATGTGTATGTTAGTCCCAAACCAGTGTTGACATTGCTGCGTTGCATTATTGAGTGCGGTTGTTAAGCTGAGATGTCATACAAAGGTCCATCCATCTGGCTGGGGAGATACTGAACAAGCCATGGCACTTAATTTATTGGACAAAACCTTACAGGTTTCTAAAGCCATATGTATACCAGGTGTCACTAAATACTTCTATCCCCTGCTTTTTGTTGCTTTCTTTTTTTCTGTGCTTCAGTGTTTTTATATTTGTTTTATAATATTTTCATGAACCTTTTCAAATGGTCTTTAGTTTGTTTATTTTGGGCTTATGGTTGGGCGGGGGCGCGGTTCATTGGTTTGCATTGGGGTTTGTTTTTATTTTACAAAGGACTTGAAGCAAGTCTGAGCAGTGCTGCTATGGAAAATATACAAATGGGGACCCACTCTGTACAGTAAGTGCTTTGGTCATTTGCTAATGATGACAGTTTGAAAAATGCCAAACATCAAAATTTGGGGAACAGTTGCCTGGTTAAATTCCACCAAAATTCTTCCTACATCTTTTTCCTATTGGATGGTAGGGTTTTTTTCATCCTTGTGTGGTTGAAGGGGAGAACAATTATGTAAAAGTAATACAGTTCGTGTGATAATGACTATGTTTTGACAACACTGTCATTGTTATTGTGGAGCATTTTTTAACTTTAGTATAAAATTTTAAACTCTAGCTAATGTCCACAAAATGGTGCTTTGGGCTCTTTGGTCCTGAAACAATGAATCAGGTGGGATTACGCTGACCTGCTAATCTGCAGTGTTCATCCTTTTCCAATAGTTCGCACGCAGGAGCAAATTAAGTGCCTATTTTTTGTGTCAACCCTGAAGAGTATCTGGTTTTTCAGCCCTTAGTGACTTGTTAACAAACAGGTATCAGGACAGGCTGGTGAAGGCAGGCCGCTGGCCAGTCAGATGTGAAATAGCATCTCTTTACTAACTACAGTATTGATTCCCGCCTACCCTTGCAAACTGTGTAATTTTCTTTTCCCTGCTGCTAAACTCAGTAACAATGTATGAAGAGCTTTAGGGGCCCATCAATGCTCAAAAAGGCTGCTCTTCCCTGGCATTCTATTGATTTTTCTCAAAAGCTTTTAAATTGCTCCTTCATTTTACTCAAATGCTCATTTCATCTCTACTGGATGCCGGCATTTTTTCGTTGTGTTTAAACAATTGCTCCATTCACTGGGTTCCTAAACTGTGACGCCTTCTTATTACTGGGAGATAAACTGTTTAGACAGTTTTCCTTAATCTTGGATTAATCGTTCCTGTATCTGAATTGTGCTGTTCTGTATTCCTTCACTTCAAAAAAAAAAAAAAAAAGAGAGAGGAAAAAAGTCTGTGAGGTTTTATGATCTATCAAGTATATGTGTTCTATTTTCTCTCTCTATACTTCTGCTCAGTTCTTGCACAGCTTCATTTTCCTCGTGCTTTTGGTGTGTTGGATTTTAATCAGTCCTTGCTTTCATGTATCATAGTAGGTTAGATCTAACCTTTCCTTGGAAAATTGCTCTGGTATTCCTGAACACCATGTTCTTAAGTGAGGACGTTGCCTCTGACCTTCCTGAAATGTTACTGCCAATATTTGTCACACTCAGTGGCCATCCTGGTATATAAGTGAAATTGTATAGTCATTTAGGACTGTTTATTTTTCTATATCTACATCGATGTTACATAAGGGTAGTAGACATTGGGTGTTACAATTTCTGCAGGCAAGAAAGGCTGACTGACATATGGGAAACTATATGACAAATGACTGGCAATTACTGGTTGTTAAAATACAGAATTCTGACATTTATGCTGAGTTTGGACCATGTTACTCTTTGAAGTGGTGCTTGCTACATTTTTTCCCAAATCATATGCTCAAAATCTTTATAATGCAATGCCATTTTTCTAAATTTCCACTTGAAGATATCCATCCTCTAGCCACATTTTTACTTCCTACTTCGTACTATGTTACCTTGTTCCGATATGCAAGACTCTATACTAAAGGTGAAAGACCGCTGCTTCCTCAAAGAGTTCACAGTCAAAATTGTTCATGCTTTTTCCCATGGTGGCGTCTATGATCAGAATCCATTTACAGTGTATGGTTGGATTCTGAAGCATTAAGGTTTTGATAAAACTGTAAAACAAGTTTTTGATGAGATAAATTAACTCCTGTGTGATTGTCAAGAGAAGAAACTTGATTTAGATAATTAAACTGAGGAAGTGTGGGATACTTAAAAAGTAATGTCTTTTTCAGATGCAAAATTTGGCTCATGGCAACAGGATCATGTTGTCTTATTCAAGATTGGTATTTAGGTGTCAGATACCAGTTCATGTTTTGAAGCAAATGTGATTCTTTGATGCAGAAAAGTTACAAAGTTGTCACCCCCACTCTGCTCAAAAGTTGACAAATTCCATTTTTTTTAGGTTTATTTTTAAGCTTATTCAGAATTTATTTTTGGAAAGAAGTTCCTCGGCTACATTGTTGGCATTTTGTTCAATTTCTAAATAATAATCACTGTGTTTGTGTCACCTCTCCTACATGGAATAGTTTCCTTGGAATTTTGCTACTGTGCTACTGCGAAAACTTGACTTAAATCTTCCTACAGAACAGTTTTATCTACAACAGCTAATAATAGATACTAATCCCAGACTGGCAGGGCTTTTTCATCAAGATCTGTCATTTTGGCTATCTGCTTTAGCCTCCCCTTTCTTTGTATATGCAACTTACAGCATAGTGACTCTGCCCTCGCCTAGCGGTGACAAGAACCTGTACCTTAGGAGACTGCAAATCCTACCTGGGTTTGGAGTTTCAAAGTGCGTGCTTTTTCTTTTAAACAGAGTGGCGAGATCCAGAATTCATGAGAGAAGTTGAAGCAGCTACAGGAATGGATCTTGGTTCCTCTAAAAATAATGGAAAAGGAGGGAAAAAGAAAGGGAAGAAGAAAAAATATCCAAATCTGACAGACCTGAAGCAGCAGGCTAATACTTCTCGTTCCCGGCTTGAGAAGAAAGTCTTCAATAAGTAAGATGCTTACGTTCTCTAAAGCCTGTTAAATTGCTGTTTCCCTTTGTTTCAACAGTACTTTCTGTTTCTGCATTAATGTGCACTTACTAAAGAACTTTCTTTGCTAACTGCAGAGCAGGAATGCCTTCCATATCTCTGGAGGGTAAAGAGTAGCAGGTACTGATGACCAAGGTTATTTCTTTGAGAATGATTTTCAGCTAATTTACAAAACTTCCCTATGAAAGATTTTTTTTCATCCTTCTCAATTTTTTTTTTTTTTTAATCCTTTAATTGCTGTAGTGGCTTCTCTGGATGATCATTTATTAATCAGATGGATGCTACTTTATGTGTGCAAATAGTACTGGATCTGGAAAGAAGATGATGTGTTCTGAGTGACACAACTTACAGCATCAGGCACACTGTATTAGTGTAGATGGAGTGAAAATGAAGTTTTTCCTTTTGAAAGCCTAAGATGGGCTGCCCTGAGCAGAACTTCAATTAATAAAAGGATCTGTCAAAAACCCTTGGCTTTTGGCATGTAGCAGTGTCTTGGCGGTTGCCCTCAAGCCTCTGATGTATGCTCAGAGACCTTCCCAAACTTTTGACTGCTGCCTGGGCTTCCTGTGTATTTTCTCTCGCTCTTGGGTACACTAAATTGCTAGCTGGGCCTGATGCAGTGCCTTCCAGTCCAGTACGTACACACAGTGATCCCTGCCTGTGTATTACTCAGTGGCACGCTGCCATTGCATTTTTCTCCCCCTTTACCGAGAATGCATTCAATTGGTTAAGAAAAATATTTGGATCCTTGTGTTACGGTCCTTGTTCACTTAACCCCTGCTGTCTTTTGTAAATATCAAGGACTGGAACCTGCTGCAGCTCTCTTTTCAGTGTAAGAGTTTGGAGATGATTATTCCCTGTGCCAGAGACATGCGGACACAGTATTCTTCCCACGATGGTGCCGTTTCTATACATCTCCCTTTCCTCTCAGCACATGTGCAAACAGTAGCTCTTGGCCTACATTTAGCTGGAGAGGAAACTGTTAGGATGGCATTGGCATTTAGACATTTCAAAGAAAACTGTGTCCATGACTTATGTAGACATATGTGAGTTAACTTTACAGCAGGCACGCTAGCTCAGATGGAAGTGGGAGCCTACCAACCCACCAAGCTGAATGGGTTTTAGAACGTATAGTAGCTTCATGTGTCCACTCTGTTATGCCATTTCTGATATCTAGTCTTGGTTAGATGTGGCTGCAACATGAATTTGCCTAAGCATGCTCTGGTCTTTATTAAATGGGAAGCAGCTGCAGCTATTTAAAGAGTTTCGCATGTCAAAAATGAAGCAAAGGAAAGTGAAAAGTCTGAAGTTGTCAAATCAAAAAAACAAAATTATTATTATGAAATCATCAATGCTGGGTTATTCCCTAAACATACTGGATGAGTTGAACAGCGTCCGAGGCACAATATTTGTTTAAACTCTATTTTCCCTTTTCTGATGTAATGGTTATAATAACAAAGCCAAATCCACATTGCATTTAATTACAGAAATAGCACGTTTTCTGTGAAATTCTCATGTTACCTGATCTTAGGTAGAAGTCAGAAACATATAGTTCTAATGATCAGAATTTTGTATCAGCTTTAACAAGATAAATTTTAAAAGCTGGTTTTGGTTTACTATGGTTTGCGCTAATGACTTCAAGTGTGTGTTAGTGCCAGGCATAGGGAATCGAATCTGTCATGTTTTAATAGGTTTCATGCTTTTCAGCACTAAACAAGATGATAACCTTGGCTCCTTATAACAACCCCAAATTACTTGAAATGTATAGGTGATAAACCCAGGCTCTAGTCTGCCAATAAAGTTAAGTGAAATTGCACACAGATCATCAAAGTGGGATCTCATTTCATTTACAGTATCGCACAATCCAGTGGTGCTAATGTAAAACCTACATGACATGAAAGTGTCAAGGCCACTCTGCGCTGCTAAAGGCTCACTTTTCTCCTATCAATTAAGCAATATTTGAAGTGCAAAACCATGACCACATTTTCCTTACTCTGGTAACTTTATTGGCAGAATTTTGTTAAAAGTATACCTCTTCCAAGGTGTTTTTTCAGAATGTTGGTTTTCATTACAGTTGCTGCTGAGAAAATCTTTAATCCCACCATTTAGAAGCGTTATTAAGAAGTATCCTCTGTTTTCAGATGTTTCAAAATGGCCTTTGAAATGAAGCCATTACAGAGAGCAGTTGGCTATAAGAGAAGTCAACTTGCCTCTGAGATAACCACAGGAGCAGAGCTGGAATAGTGTGTAGGGGCCTGATCCTGGAAAAGGCTGGTGCACATTACCAGGTGGATGTCTTGTTTTCATTTTACTGCACAGCCTGCAGCATCCTCAGAAGTGATAAAGGCAGACTGTGACAACACAGAGTCTAACAGCACTAGACTTGAAACCATCTACTTTGTGTGATGGAACTTGCCGACTGCATTTCTGATGTAGAAATCAAAGGAGACATCAATCAGTGCCATGTTCTTAAACAGGACATAGTCCCTCAAACCAAGCCCTTAGCTGATACACCTCCTACGTTGGCAGAGTGTCCAGGTCTTTACAGAGATGTGTTAGGAGATAACTTCCTTCTTCGTAAACAGAGGCAGGGTAACATCTGAACACACCTGCAAATATCAGCCTCAGATTTCTGAGCTTTTGTGCTAGAGGCACACAAAAAACCAATAAAAATTGAAACTCTAGAATCCAGTAAAGAACCAAATTCCCTAGGCAAGATGCACTCAGCTGTGCACAAACAGCTACCATAAGTTTCTGTGGGGGCAGATGTATGCAACAGAGCATTCTCTTGACTTCTCCTACTGCCTTTCTTCTGCTTTCTTACCCCTCTGGAATCGTGAACCCATTCCTCTGCCTTATCAGTTAAAGGATATATAGCCCTGCTCTCTCTATGCCTTTTATGAGAATCTCCTGCTCCTATTCATGCTGTCTAGGCATCATTTTCCTCACCCTCAAAATCTCAGCTGCGTGATCTTCACTCAAAAGTTTGTGGAGGGAAGAAAAATGCAAGTGTCTTCACTCACCCAGTTCAAAAGCATGGCAGTCACTCCCAAAAGAGGAGAAATCTCTGGGCACTATCTTTACTGGGAGGAAACAGTGGCAGCAAATAAAAAGCAGCATCAGGGGGGCAAACCCTCATCAGATTTAGGAGCACCAGAAAGCTTAAGAGCTCCAAAGTTCATTCCTTTATTTCCTTTTTGAATCTGAAGAACACTCCAGAGCCTTCTTTAAGCACAGCAGGCACTGCAGAGGGCACGGATGCTTGCCCGTCATGAGGTAGCGGAGATCCCATTCCAATTTATCATAGAATGGTTTAGTAGAGACCCTTAAGATCATCAAGTCCAACCGTTAACCTAGCACTGCTAAGTCCACCACTAAACCATGTCCCTAAGCACCACATCTACACGTCTTTTAAATACCTCCAGGGATGGTGACTCAACCACTTCCCTGGGC